AGGTTAAATTCTCACGTTTATCATAAAGTTTAGTTGATAGTTTGCCATCAATGTCTTTCTCTGGTAAAATAACCAAAATTGAAGTAGTCATGACAGGGTTCTTATATTTCGATATCGATTTCAGTGGGTTGTATCGGGTTATATCGAATAAACGTATGAATGAATAATTGGGGCAATCAGTATCTTCATGAACATGTCAATTCGCCTGATCACTCTATTCTTTCAATGAGGGTTAGAATTTTGGAAAAAGTATACTATTCAACTAATAGTCCTACTTTGAGTACTCCATTCCGTAGACAACGAGAAGAATACTGGATCAGGAAACTAGGCACGGCTTATGGTTGAAACGACTATTTAAATTATGCAGGAAATCTCTCAAGCCCATAATCTGCGAATGTGAATGTAATGGGACTTTTTACAATACACCTAGACTTAGGCGTAGTCGTAGACATCGATCATACAATATACATGTACCAAATATACATGATGTTTCTTTTGATTCACTTTTGCCTTACGTCAATAAATAATTAGGGCTTCATCACATTCGAACTAAACTCTGCTTGGTTCCCTTGAAATTTTTGAATGGACCATTTAAAGAAGCTAAATCAAGTCCAAGCAAGTCCATAGTTTGATTCTTCAACTGCAGAATACTAGCTAGTATTTGTGATTATAAATGTTGGCCAGTAGGCCACCACGTGTGACGGAAGATAATTTTGACTCAATCTGTCGGTTCCTTAAACTTAAATTTGCCAACATTGTGAGTATAAATAACATTCTTAATCATATAAAAGTCCAGTCTTGCATTCCACCATATTTCAAGTTGAATTCTACATCCTGTATTAATTTCCTACAGATATTCCCTTGTTGCTTGCTGTTGCTTTTAAACTTTTCAATTATAAACAAACCTTGCAGTGTCTAGATATTGAACAATTATACAAAATCCTTTTAAGTATTCTTGCTCTTCCTCTTCTTTCAACTATAGTTTCGCTGAACACGTCATCACTGCTGATTTTAATATATAGTTGAAAATGACGACCAAAAAGCAATTATTTTAAAAGGTCCTAAAACAGGGAGAAGATTATGCTAGACGTTGGGCTAATTATAAAGGGAAGACCTAACCACGTTGTCAGAATGAATTAATTGTTTCAAAAATATATTAAATAATCATGTAGAAAGTTAAAAGGCAATATGCGAACCATTTATCCTTCTGTTTTTCGTAAATCGGAGGTGATAAAAGAATCAGAAAGACTAGATGAACAAGACATGTTAGTTATGGTTCCAGCAGACAAAGCTTGTAACAACATCGTCTTAGTTTGTAAGGCTTATTATATTATAACTGTAATTTAGAAAAAAAAATTATTCTACATTTGGAACTCCTACTTATACTCACCAACTGTAGGCCTTTGTTTTAATACTAAATTTGACTACAGATATATTCCTTGTACCTTGATCAATACATCGGTGTGACCGGTCAACATGAGGTGTTTACTCCTCCTAGGCACCTGATCCCATCTCTGGAATTTCCAGGGGTCCGTGTTATATGCCCTGTTCACAGATTTGTATTGTTTGTAGGTTTTCTTGGATCAATCACTGTTCGTTTTCTGTGATACTGATCTTATTAAAGAAATTGTTAACTTATGTAAATATAATATTACAAAACGCTTATGTAACTATATATATATATATATATATATATATATATATATATATATATATATATATATATATATATATATATATATAATGGACTTTGAAGGATCGAGTGACTTTGTCTTGAGTGTTTGGCCATTACGATATTATTTATTCATCTGTTGGTTGTCATTTGACTTGGTATCTTGATTGTGTACCAACATGGTGATGTCCATAAATTGAATTGATAGTAAACTTCTCTCTCTCTCTCTCTCTCTCTCTCTCTCTAGATTTTAAACTGTCTTATGTTGTGAGTTTCTGACGATTCTTCCCAAAGCTTAAGAAAAATATTGTTACTTGGTAGTTTATTTTTTCGTATTATAGATAATGATAAATGCATTTCTTTTCATAATGCAGAGTCTTTGATCGGACTAAAGGTTATGCATTAATATTCGAATCTTTGTGTTTCTGTAAGTAAACCGTACCCTATCTAAACTATGAAAAAAAAACCAATTAAACTTCTATACTTTAAACATTATACAGGTATTAAGGCTTGTACTTAACTCTTCTCTAGGTTACATTTCTGTCAGGGGCAGCTGGCCATTAACATTACCGAATATTAGTACTTCAGTAAAGTGAAAAATGTGATAATAACAATCTATAAACAATAGAAATCTGTGAACAGGACATAAAACATGGACCCCTGTAAATTCCAGAGGTTGATCAGGTGCCCATGAGGAGTAAGCATCTCCTATAGTCAATTTCCCCCCAAACATTAGATACTCAAATTTATTTCTGTAAGAAGCAACCACATTCTTGCGAATTCTTTCATTTCTTTGCAAACATTGTCCCCTCTACTATTAAATTCATATCAAACCAATGCTTTGTATATTTTATAATCTCTGATAAAGCTAGAACGTGCACAGATACAATAATATTTCGTGTAGAGCCAGCACATATCGCATGTACGGTAACTGTTCCCTTCCCCTCTAATTATTGGAATAAGTTGGAATTAATTTCCTTCGTCATCCCCTTGCTTCATAATGAATTATCTAATTATAACATGGCATGATTTAATTATGCTATAACTTTTTTTTAGCGATAATAATATTTGCGTTTTTACATGATAATATAGATTTAATCAAATACTTTTAAAAGTTAAGTTCAAAATGCACTACTTTATCAATACGCTAACCAGTTGATGAGGAAGATAGCGCTTAATTTTGAGTGCACTAACTTACGTTCATATTCAGTATATGCTTCAGGCCAAGGAAACAGAGTTTGCATTTAGAAATAGAGAACAAGGAGAATTTGCAGGGTGCTTTAATATTGCAGACAGTACTTTGATCGGATAAAATGCTAAGAAAACCAGCATGTGTAAGCATGACCATTTCTCCATTTTTTAATATCAAATTAATCAATTGGATTTCAAAATCGATATTCCATTTTCCAAAATGTACACACGTTTTTGTTCACTAGTCAAAACAGTTAGTAACGTCAAAGACTGAGATAGGATTTTCATTGTTGCGGATCTTGTAAAAGCAGTGTTATACGGTTAAAAAAATGAAAACAAAAACAATCGAATCCATGCTACTAAAATAATCATTAGAAAACTAAATGTTTTGTAGTACAGCAATTCTAATGAGAGGATATGGCGCCAGACCGAGTATGAAATGTATCCGGAGAGTATTTTTGAGACACTTATGCCGTTATGATTTTGATGTTACAATATTGTCAAGAGTGCTCCGTGGTGACAGAACATTGAGATTTTAGAATTATAGGAAACATGATTTCCATTGATTCACAAGAAATGAAACTCCAAACATTAAGGTCTTGCCAAAGGTCAAGATGTCCAAAAATTTATTTTTACTATAGCTCCAAAACTACGTGAGGTATAAAGTTAAAACTTTTACAGTTTATAAATATATCATTAATTAATAGATAGAAAGTATCACTTGAAAACAAATATTAAAAAAAATATATTTTTAAGAAAAAAAATTTCAAAAAAAATTGCATATTTTTAACAAAAATGCGCCTGCTTAATTCTGCACTTTTAATAAAAATCATCATTGCAGAAATAATGCACATGTATGTTTATCAATGAAGGGCAAGTTGGACGTGAATGGTCTCTGAAAGGCTGTTATTGAAAGCATGACATGTATAAAGACAAGACTCCTATAAAATCCGCCATTTGCAATGTACTCTTGGTTTCAAATCTTAACATTTGGACAAAATAAACAGGGAAAACAACTTTCCAGAGGCTATCGAAGTCCAACTTGCCCTTCATTGATAAACATATATTGTTTCTGCAATGATGGCTTTCACTGAAAGTACGGAATTAATTAGGTGTATTTTTAAAAAATATATGCATTTTTTTAAAAGAATTTTTCTCGATAAATTTTTTTTATTAAGTATTTGTTATCAAGTGATACTTTCTATCTGTTAATAAATGATATATTTATAAACTGTAAAAAGTTTTAACTTTATAAACCACAAAGTTTTGGAGCTATTGTAAAAATAAATTTTCGGACATGTTGACCTTTGGCAAAACCTTTAAAAAAATTTTACATATGATAATGTGCTGATTTCTTTTAAAAAAATAATATAGCAAAAACTGACACTGTCTGCGAACTTTTCGAACAGTCATCATATATTTATGAAATAACAGGACATCATGACCTAAGAAAAAACTTTAATTACAAGACAGACTATTGACAAATAAGTTAATGATACAAAGATACATGTATCAACAATGCCGTTCAAAGTTTCCATGGTCGATACATTGAATTTTTTTTTTGCAAATACAATCTGTCGTTGGGTCGAATATTGACTGATGTCTTTCATACAAATTATTAGACCATTATTTTCACACTGAATTTACTACGAATTTTTCCGTCTACCCGATTCACATTAAGGCACGCAGCGGGTGTGATTGGCAGGGGATGCTTACTCCTCCATGGCATCTGATCCCATCTCTGTTTGCAGAGGTCCATGTTGGCTCTGCTCTTTGTATTGCTTAAATACTACTTTTGAGAATTATCACTGTTCAACATCACATTTTATTTTCAATATTCTTTCAACCACTAATTTTCATTTTCAATATTCTTTCAACCACTAATATTTCACTATACATTACACTGCGTCTATGTTTCTTAAAGAATACATTAGATATATAAATCAATGGGATTTGATTGTCAGAAAAAAAGAAATAAAGAAATAATTTTAGAATATTTGAAATAAATAAAAGACTCATTTTAATCTCCTCATTTAACAAGCAAGCAAAATACTGAGTAGATGGTTTGTTTATAAAGGAAGTAAGAAGGTACATGTAACTGTTAGCACTCGCCGATAATTTAAAAACAAAGTAATTGTTATTTTATTTGTCTAGAAATAAGACGTCTTGTACACACAATTTTTACATGTCTAAGAGCTGATAATACATCAGGAACAATTATTAAAGCAGCCATAATTAACAGAAGTATCACCCAAACACTCCCAGAAGCATTGGTAGAAGGACGAAAATCTTTCACAGATATCTTTTTTCTCAGAGCAGCCGAAGTTTCTAGAACAAGAAGTTCTTCTCGCATCTTCTCGATCTCTCTGATCAGTGCTTTGTCACTAGTGTTTGTATACTTTGGCTCATGCACCATATTACAGGGACACATGCACTGTCCTAAAGCTGTCTCAAAAGAAGCAGTTATGAGAGATCTATATTTTTTTTACGATATTTTAGGTGGACGTGACTAAACATACTGGTAACTTTTGGATTTACATGCCATAAATTGACATATCTTATACACGTATTGTAAAATTAATTACGCTTGTGAGTAAAATTCATTTACTTTGGTGCGATTTTTCTTTTTTTTTTCTAGAAAACTTCTAAATACCTGTACAATTTGGAGGTTTTCCATCCCATTCTCCATAAGAAGTACATTTTCGCTGAAGACTGCCGTTTGCTAGAATATACCCTTTGTTGCATTTATAGCGCACTGTTCCATTTATAGATCGGTTTATGTGTGTAATTGTGCTATTTGGTGCCTCATCAAGTTCTGGACACAGGATTTCTTTGGTAGAAAATACAATTGTTTTAAAATCCCAGCTTTTCATAGATATATATTTTCATAGAGAATTCCAATTTTTTTCTATGTTAAGGCCCTCATGCGGCATGGTTTCAGACACTCCATATAAAAAAAAAGACACGCACAAAGAATCGGAAGCTCTCAAATTGATTTACGGTTATTCATAATTGAATAATAGTAGAGAATCTGTGAAATTAGATGCATACATGTACTTATACTTATTTCCAAAAAAAATCTTTCTACGAGAAAAATAGAATTATGAAATTTAATCGATTTTGATGATGATGAAGTTTGTGTTTTATCTTTCGGCTTGTGTCTGTTTATGTCAGAGAGTGAGTGTGTGTGTTTCTGTGTGTGTAGGTTTTTGAATTATAGGTGGACATTAAACTGTGAAAAAAAATTGGAATGGCATTATTTCATCTTTACATTCACCCACAAATTATCCTTTTATTCCTGTCTACCAGGATTCCGGATTAATCAATAATGAAATACAGGGTTGGGGTCAATTTATACTTTGAGATGTAATTAAATATGTACTTTAAAATACGTTGATAATTTTGTTAATTACTTGCAATTACAATTACATTGATTTTAACAAATGTAATCAAATACATATCAATTACTTTAGTTTTATTTCCAAAAATTTTGAAGAACATACACATGAATATTTTGAAGCTGCAATATTATTAAATTTGACCTTTCTTATTGCCCTGGGCAGTGCATTTATGTTGTACAAACATAAGGCATTTAGTTATTGAATAAAATCAAACTCATGACAACCAGTACTGATATGCATCATGACAAAACAACACTTTAAATATGTACTTGAAAAATAAAGTATTTGAACTGTAATTGAAATGTAATTACATAAATACAAAATACATGACATTTTTGGAATGCATTTAAATACATTCAATTACTTGTAATTGAAAACAAACTCAATTACAAATACTTTCAATTACTTTGAAAAAATGTATTTAAATACGGTAATTTACAATTACTTATTTCTATTACCCCAACCCTGTTGAGATACATTGAATATTTCTAGACTCTCTTTGTCTGTTACCAGACAGGGGCTAAACGATCAAAGTTAAAAAAAATCTTTGCTTGGTTATTTTCATGACCTTTTTTTAAACTGACATTTTTGAAATGAAGTTCAATTTTAGCTTCAAAATCAGTGAAACAATAACATTTCTTAGTAATGATTCTTGTTATTTTTCCTTCGATAACAAAAAGCTTTTGTTTCTCGTAAATACAGTTGTACATGCTCACCTGAGCAGCTGAATGGTGCCCCATCCCAACTTCCATTTACGAGACAGATGCGTTTGAAGATAAATACAGACGCCGCTATATAGTACCCGGGGTTACAGGAGAATGTAGCGATAGTGTTAAAGGGAACACCTGACATCCCAATATTCGTCATGGAGATGTTGTTCGACAATGTAACGATGCCATTTTCTGGATTTTCTACTACTGGACATAATATTTCTGTAAACACGAGTAAAGTTTAGGTAATAAGACAAGGTAATTAAATATGTTCATGTAATTTATCAATTTAATTAAAGGAAATTCTTTTTAAATAGCTATTCACTCATGAGTATTCATTGTAAAAGCATATATATTTCTCTCGCTCTTTCTTTGACTCTATCTATCTCTCTATAGACATTGGTATAGATGGAAAGAAAAAATATTTTGTTTACATTTAGAATGAGAGTATTTACCAGAGCAAATTACAGGGTCTCCATCCCAAGTTCCATTGTCCAGACATGTAAGATTTGAATCTCCACCAGATAACTGAAACCCGGGATTGCAGTAGCAGTAAGCTGTTCCACCTACAGAGGTGTTCTGGATGAGACCTCCATGTTGAGGAGGAATCAGTGATGGACAGAAAATTTCTGTAGGAAAACAAGGCTAGATGTAATGTCGCAACTAGCATTACTATGCAAGTTTAGTGGCAGTTAGCAGTTTTGTGTATATCGTGCCCTGGTTCTATTACTTATTAGGTTATTTGTTTTGTCTCGGACTAGAATGTCGCTCTGTCATTGGATAAAGGACGTCATGTGCCTGCAGTCAATATTTCTTTGGACGACGAGTAGCAAAGTTTGGATGGCAACATGACAGGTTGTTCAAGTCCATAGGCGCTGCAATCCCTATGTTTTGGTAGACGGAGTATTCCTTAGCCAAATTTAGTATAAGAATAAGGACCTAACAATTGGTATAAAATATGTCAATCAAATACTACCCTATGATAGGTTTTATTTGCTAACAATGTCAGTATAAAACGACAATTTACAAAATGCTGACCTTAAACGAGGTTGTTGAAATTCCTTTAGCATCAACTTATCTCTCAGTAGCCTGCCTCAGTTTCTAAATTGATCGTATTCAAAGCATGCTCTTGAGTGTCAAGTTGGGAGACATAAACATCAGTTGATAGCAGAATAGTAATACATGAATAAGAAAAGTTGACGATAGAACGGCTGAAGTGATCATACAGTTTAGTTTGTCCTTATCGTCAAGTTTTTTTTCTGTGATTGGGTTGTGTTAAAGAAATGCTGTACGCGCCCTTAATTTAGCTTTAACAAACCCTTGGTAAGACAAAACTACTAAAAATCAACATTGTAGTACCTGAACATACTGGGGGATCCCCGCTCCAAACACCATCCAACATGCAAGTTCTGCTCAGGTTTCCCGCGGAATTATGGAAGCCAGATAAACAGCTGTATTGTATGGTTCCATTTACTCCATTGTTTACTTCCACCACAATGGCATTCAAAGAAGAAAAAGTATCTGGGCACAATATTTCTGTGGAATGAATACGTTGAGATGCACACAACATAAGGTGAAATAATCTAATTAGCTAAGTTAGTCATGTTAATTTTACATGTGCAAAGAATTCTAGTTTTTCTTCTTTTTTAACAATTAGCAACCTTTGCATTAAGTTCTCACAGTTTACGATTTCAAATACCAAAACAAGGTCGAATAAGAAGTCGGTTTTATTAACCTTGGACACAAGACTCAACCTTTCTCAGAAAAAATATATTCAGATAAATGAAATTATTATGTCTAGTTTTCAGCAATTTTAGTCATATATTGGGACTTGAAGTCAAGATAGAAACTATATTGCAGAGGTTTAAAAACTGAAATTTTACTGTGACGTCATGATTTGGGACGACAATCTGTTCCCTAAACGCGGTTACATGCATGTATTCCAATTTAAAACGTTGTCTCTAAAACCATGAAGAGATCTACATCTATAATTACCAGTGGAGGTTTATTAAATGATAAGCTATTCAAAGTAATTTTGTTTTTGGGAATTTAAAAATAAACCTATATACTCCGATGTAAAACTTTTGATCCTCAAGAGACTCCACTCAAACCCCCCATGGGCTATAATTGAACCAACTGGAATCTATATTGCAATGTTAATAGACTGAGTGTTTCTTTCATTTTGGAAAAGGATATGTTCAAAGAATTTTTTGTTTATTTAAATATAAAACTTTGTTAACCTAGTGTTGACCAAATTGCTTCAGGAACAATGATTTGAACAAACTTACATCTTGATATACTTGTGGAGATTTCCATACTTATACCAGTACGACTAAGGGTTGCTCTTCTGTTTTCGACAAACAAGAAGTCTGTGAGCCAATGCTCACTAGTAATACCCCCGCTCTGATATGTATATACACTCTGATTTGAATATACACAAGTTCAGCAATGGACGGACACAGAGACGAATATGAAATTGACATCACATTCATATAAAAATGAAATCCACCACAATAAATGCTTCAACAAAGAGTGTGCTAAAATTTCAAGTATCTGCAATGAGTAGTTGCTGAGAAAACTGCGACGAAAATTTGTTATATATGGTACTGACGGACGCATGGATAAACAGGATATTGACATCAGATTCGCACAAAAATGAATCCAACCATATGGCATGTTTAAACAAAGTGTACTAAAATTTCAAGCATCCGCGATGAGTAGTTGCTGAGAATACTGCGACGAAAATGTTTTAGTTATGGTAGGGACAGACGCACGGATATACAGGAAGTTGACAGCAGATTCATACAAAAATGAATCCCATCATATGGCATGCCTAAGCAAAGAGTGTGCTAAAATTTCAAGCACCTGCAATGAGTAGTTGCTGAGAAAACCGCGACGAAATTTTTTTTTACGGATGGACACACAGACAGACAGACGGACAAGGGTAAAACAGTATACCCTCTCTTCTTCGGAGTGGGGGTATAGATATGATTTTTTTTCTATATATCCAATGTCGAACTTTCATGCCTTATTGCTACCTCACCCTAGCCCCAGGGGTGGTATTTAACAAACATGAATTTTGAAAACACTGGGATGTTTGTATGTTAAAATTACTTGGTGGAGTCCCTATGGTCATGAGTTTTTTTTTTAATTCTAGAGATTTTCCACAAATTTCTTTATCATTTCCCCTTGAAAGGCTTGTTGTCTTTAATCTTTTAAACTTGATCCATTACACCCATGTAAATTTGGTTGAAATTGGTCCAATAACTCTTTAGAAGTCAATATATATACATAAAAACCAAACAGATGACGGATGAATTTTGATCGTAAAGGCTTGCATGAACATTCAGCTCAGACGAGTAAAAACTAGACAATTTAAAACATATTACGCACGGGAACAGGTAGGAGGAGCTCCATTCCAACTTCCGGTGATAAGACACGTGAGAATCGCAACATCAGATAAGTTGAATCCTGGTGCGCAGGAAAATGCGGCTGATGCATTTACGGGCAAATGCAGCATCACAGCGACTTGTGTGAGGTGAGGATGCGTTATAGTTACAGTGCCATTTTTTGGATTATCAAGAATAGGACAAAATACCTCTGAAAAGTAAAAACATAATGGACCTTAAATTACCGAAGAAAATTCAAAGTAAAAAAATGATTAAAATTTCCTAAAACAAGGTAAGCATAGTTATAATTTGCTTTTAGAATGCATCACCTGAGCATGTTGCAGCACTACCGCTCCAATATCCAATGTCTAAACAGGTTCGAGTGAGATTACCCCCAGTTTTTACAAACCCTGGATTACAACTGTAAACAGCCTCATCATTGACAGATCTACCGGAACTTAAAACAACAGTGCCATCTGTCGGATCCGTTAACGCAGGACATAGAATCTCTGTGACACAAATGATACAGTTAGGTACATTCTCCATTTGATCTTTACAAAAATGCCCAGTGTATATATATTCATAAGCATACTATCTGTGATTGTGTAGAATCTTTATCATAATTATTGCCCTTGATATTTCATATACATGTGTAGATAGTTTTCGTATGGCATATTTTCCCTTCGAGTTATTTCACTTGGTCGCCATCTTGGAGGTCAAATTAGTGAATGTTCCTCTTTGAACAACCAATTTTAAAAATGTATCAGAGATATAAGGGCAATTTTTTTTAAATACTTCAATTATGTATTAAAAGAAGCTTTTGCTAACATATATTAATGGGGGGAAACTGTATTTTCTTCACCTTATTGTCCAGTATGACATGTTTAAATTGGTTGAATAATGAAGGAATCTGGGCTTGTTGACCTCTTGCTAAAATCGCGCCCATTGAAAACTATCCATACATTTAATCCAGATATACTTAATCTCTGGACGAGGGCACCTTTTACTGAATAGCATTCGACCAGGCCAATATTCTGCCTCAATTTGAGTTTGAACGAATAAATAACGAAGAGACAGTCTTTTTACTTGTACGAGAAGATATACATGTAGATGTAATTAAAAAGGCTTAAACGTAATACATGAAAAGTGTTTCATAATACTTCCAGGTAGCTACTGGCGTAATTGTTTACGATCACCTGAACATACGGGTGGATCCCCACTCCATGTGCCGTTTGGTAAACAAAATCTGCTTAGATTTCCCGCCAAAAGATAAAATCCAGTGTTACAAGAATATACCAATTCTCCGTCCACCGTCCTGTTTACAGATACAACTGTGCTATTTTCAGGAGCATCAACATCTGGACAAAACGTTTCTGTATGAATGAAAACAATAATACCTATCTGTAACTTCATTTGTTTTAGTGAAAATAAGTAAGTGCAATGATTTTAAAATTGGTTTATTTCTCATGAATCTTTTTTAAAGATGGAAAACGTTGACTTATTCTTGAGCTCAGAAAATATGAAAATGAAATGACGTGAACTTTTGTTTAAGGACAGATGATACAAACAAAAAATGAATGTCTGGATTGGTATATATTTTAACCTATTCTGGTTGTAAATGATACGAATATTAAATTTCTAAAAGTTGAAGAAATTTTAAATTTCTAGGATGTCTTTCTGCAACCATCCTTATTAATCTATGCAACTTTTTTGTCTCTTTAAATCACATTTTTGTGAAAGTTTGAAAAAAAATCTATGCGGTTAAGCTTATTCATTTTACTTATATAAATATGACCTAAGTTTTTTTTTCATGGTTTTTGATAAAATGTTGTTTGTATCATCTGTCTTTAAGAAGAGTATTCCTTTAAGTGAGTATTTCTTATTAAATTATCCCTGTTTACATGTACTGTATGATGGTTGGATGAAAAATGTTATATTTTAATTTTTTACGGAGCAACTGGTCCAATTTCAACTTTAAATAATGTTTATACATCACAAAGGTTGAATTGAAGCTGTATAGGGATCTTAAGGAATTTAATTTATAAAATTGAAAGGATATAATTTCTTTTTCAAAATTGTCTTAAAAAAAGAAGGTTTAGAAGGAAGCATTTGGTCTCCAAAACATGACCCATGGGGCTAGTTTAGAGCCCAACTGGGGGTCAATGTTTAATCAGAAATACCTAAGGAAGTATTAATTGATTGTATGTTGTTTTACGTCCCATTCGAGAATTTTTCACTCATACAGAGATGTCACCATATACATGTACCTGTGAAGAGTTTCAAATTTAAACCTTTACTCGGCACTCAGGGCCATTGAGCAGTGAGGGTTCTTTATCGTACCAACGCCTACCGTGACAACAGGCCTCGAGTTTTAAGGTCTCATCCGAAGGACCCGCAACTTTCACTTCAAAGTGCCGAGCGCTAGGTGGAGGAATAGTTGCTACCTATTGTTTTTATCGACTTAGGTCAGTCGCGGCAAAGGAAGTATTGAAGATAGAACATTATACAGAGATACATCTTTTAAAATCTTCCAAAGAACAATAGGACAACAATTTTTCAAATCAAAATCAAAGCTTTTTCATTTTCTATTTTGTGTAGCTTCAATTTCTTCAAGTCATCATTAAAAATGTCTTTTCTAAAAGCAGGACCATATTTTGTCAAAATTTAATTGAGAGCATTTCTTTAGAGGGGCGTTGAAGAGATCCAATAGTTTAAGAAAAATTCAAAAGAACAGCAAGGTAATATAATAGGTCAAATAAATATACAAGTGTTATGAAATAGAATTAGCATTGTGGATTGAAACAGATCTTGAATCATCCAGTCGAATCACTTTATATGTAGCCAATCAGCATTGACATTTCAGCCTACCAATTGTTTAGAATTACTAACTAATCAGTACTAATGGAGCAGATGCAAAATAATGTAAATACAGGGGCCCATCTAAGTCTCGTTTACTTTGGTGTAATTAGGTGACTTGGTCTAGGTGCTTTGGCTGTGTCGGGGAACAACAGAATTGTTTGTTAGACCACTCAGCTCAGGGACCTAGTTCCCTAGTGTCTTTGTGACTAGCTATAGTGTCTCGGTGACTTTATTTTGTGTCTGTAACAAAAAGTAATAGAGTGTCTTGGTGACTAGCGATAGTGTCTTGGTGACTTTAGTTTTTGTCTCTGTGACTGACTTCAGGGTGTCTCTGTGGCCTTGTGATAGGGTGTTTTAGGTAGTTGCAGGCTTAGCTGCAGTAAGTTCTGTATAGCGTATATAGCGTTATGGTCTTACATTTTAGTCTTTGACCATCACGCCCCATAATGCAAATTTTGTGCAATTAATGGCGCAAGATTTTCTGCGCACGGCTGGGGATGTATTTCTCCACTTTCCAGCATTGGACAATCAACTACCTTTCATTCCCTAATTCTAGACTTATTCCATTACCAAAAACTGATGTTTTATACACCTCTTTACCCTTTATAGTCGTCTCTGCAGACCAATAAACTCGTTTCTGCCATCCGACAAAAAATTCAAAATAAGAGTTTATTGGTCTGTAGAGACAACGTAAATTGCATAACATTTGCATTACTGGATAGCGTTATAGTCAAAGACTAAAATATAAATTTATAATGCTACAGTTCTGCAGCTATTGCAGGCTGTGTCAGGAAACAACAGAATTCTTTGTTCAACCACTCATGTTAAACCACTCATGCAGTCTGCAGAATCAGGGATAAGTTTATAGAGTTAGGTTGGAATCATTGATTTAATTGTAGTTGATTCTTTGTTATAATTCGTTATTGCTTTGTTTGACAACCATTATCCTGATAGGACCTAGGATAACTTATATTACAGATTTCAGTCAGTTTTCTACAATTGAGTGTAATTTTGTAGTTAAACAAAATTATTTTTGATTTAATATAAGCGTGATTCTTAGGAAGGAAACATAAGCGGAGGACTCAATTAATAAACATTTGTATTGTTAAAAAGTACACAAGCATCATTAATGAGAACTTAATTTGTTTAAATCATGTCAATGGGGCTAGGGTGAGGTTAAAATAGGGGCATAGATACATTTTCATAGACTTCATTAAAAAAGCATTATAATTTATAAATTTGACACCAATACTCATCAATATAAGGGTATAGAGAGAGAGAGAGAGAGAGAGAGAGAGAGAGAGAGAGAGAGAGATGCCCTCAATACACATCTGAGTCATAATTCAAGAAATATTGAGAGCATCTTACCAACACATTCTGGTTCACTTTCCTTCCAAATTGCGTTTAATTGACAGAGTACCGTCTGGAAACTGCTATTAACAAAATGGTACCCATAATCACATGTTACTTTCTCCTCCGTACACGGCCGTACCATGTTTCTTTTGATTGTAGCTTTCGCTAATGTTAAATCTGTTTTGTTGCATATACCTAAAATATGCGCTTAAAGTTGTGACACTTGCGAATTCTTTTTTTTTTTTACATATTATCATTCAATATACCGGTACGTCTCTCTTACATTTATACGGAAGTCCGTTGAGGCCAGTTCAGGGAAAGAAACATTTTTATTGCGTTTAAAAGCAATAATTATTGCATTTAAACGCAAAATATTGCGATTAATTGCAATAAACGTTGCGTTTAAACGCAACAGATTGCGTAAACGCAATACTTTTTGCTTTTAAACGCAATAATATTTTTGCGTATAAATGCAATAATTTTTGCGTTTAAACGCAATTATTATTTTGCTATTAAACGCAATACATTTTCGATCAAACGCAATAAATCTTTGTGTTTAAACGCAATAATCTTTGCGTTTACACGCAATAATCCTTCATTTTAAGGATTTGTTTGCATTTAACACAATAATACTGTTGTTTCAAAATCAGACATTAATTACCTAAAGCTTACAATTACTAGGATACGACACTTCAAAAAAGAACTATTTGGTTCTGTGACTTTTTGCAAAATTTTCCAGTTTTTAAAAATTGTAGTAAAACAATGGCATCTTAACAACCAGAGTATCTTAAACGTATTATAACCCAACATTCTTAATGAAGCCTATGATCAATTGCTTACGTATACTAACAACTAATTAAGAACGTTTCAGTGGTATTAATAGCCCCTGTCAATTTGGTAGTGCACATCGATCAATCTGTTTTTATTCGATTTTGATCTCATATGATTCCATCGCCTATGTACTCGTGTTTACTGTATGCAACCATAGGAAAGGTTGTAAATATACATTTAAGTTTAAATATTTCATTTAATTAAGTTTAAACACTTCTGTTGTACGCAATTCCAACATTTCATCCGTCGTTTCCTGAACCTCTTTATACATGCAGGAATAAAACGTGGGGGATATTTTTAAAACCATTTTTTCTTAATTCTTTAGCCTTCTATTAAGAAGATCCATTCTAATTGTTTACAGAAATTGTTAAAAAGTAGACAAATAACAAAATAGAAAATGTGATTTGTGATTGTAAGCAATTGACCAAATCTTCATTAAGAGTATAGAGATCTAATAAGTTAAAGACATGTCTTGTTGTAAGGTTGCCTTTGTTTTTATAACCCAACATTTTTTTTCTCTTCTATAAATTCATATCAGTGATTTTTCCTTTCAGAGAGCGTTTGCTCGGAGCAATCTGATTTTATAAAGCTAGACAATGCACAATTTCTTATAAGTAAAAAAGAAAAAGAAATAAAAGATAGTATGGTTGGGTCCATTGTTTGATACAAATGATTGCCTTTAAACACAAAGATTATTGCGTTTAAACGCAAAATTATTGATTTAAACGCAAAATTATTGCGTTTAATCGCAAAAGGTATTGCGTTCAATCGCAAAAGTAATGCGTTTAATCGCAAAAGTAATGCGTTTAATCGCAATCACAATCTTTTGCAATTAAACGCAATGTGTTGTGCGCAATGATTATTGCGATTAAACGCAATAATTTTGCGTTTAAACGCAATAATTTTTTTTCTCTAAACTGGCCTCAACGGGCTTCCGTGCATTTAGAGTGATTGTGAGTTTAAAATGCTGTTTCTTTATAAAATACTGAAATTTAAAATAGTACTCAAAAATTTTAAGTTTCGTACTTATCTTACATAAAAATTAAATATATGTTAAGAATATTTACTTATAAAAATAGCCAAGGTGTATCAGGAAATTTCAGCGTAGTAATCAAAAAACTTAGGCCTATTTCCGAAAATACATTCGCGACATGTGATTTAAGAACTTAACCTCTTGACATCATTCCAAGGGCGATAATGTCAATCTCCACGTCATTAGTTTGTTGGCTATATTTTCCGCCTCCCCATGGACTATCGATATCAAAAACAAAAGACCTTGAGGTAGGCTTGACCCTCCAGACGTACACCCCAAAATTGTTGTAGCCAAATACCAGACCCGTGTATCTATTTCTTGTGTCATAGCTCCCAGATGTCACTACTGAACCAGCGCCATAAAATGAGAAACCTACGTTTGGACCATCCACGGGTCGAATCTGTAAACAAATTATCGTTACATGTACATGTACATAGGCTTCAGAGATATGTATGAACTATTAATTTTTGGAAATTTGTCAAGTTCTATCTCAGTGTTTTGTTCTGTTAACAAGAATGCGCATTAAATATTTAATAAGCAAAAAAATAATGCGAAGTAAAAATAATGCGAATTAAACTACTGCGAATTAATGCCCTGTTCACACGGAGAGTTTAATTCAAATTAAACGTTAGTTTCTACGAATTATATTTGATTCGCGTTCACACAGAGAATTTAATGCGAATTAGTTTAATTCGAATTAATTTACTGCGCATCAAATTACTTCGCATTAGCTCTGTGTGACCGCTAAGCGAAGCTAATGAGAATTAAATTTTGACGCATGCGTAATGGCAAAATTAAGTCATATTCCACAATCATGTCGGTGGTCAAATATAGGTACGTGTGTTATTTTTTAGTGAAAAACAAAGGAAAATTATCTTAATCACTAAAATGTGGACAAACACTATGAAATTATGTCAAATGGATTTGCTCTACATAAGGTGACGTGATTTGCATATGACGTCATAATAGCCTTACTAAATAGCCTTACTGTAGAAATAAAATTTTAATTCGCATTAGTTTACTTAAGAAATAAATAACAAGTTTAAAAACCTCAATGGGAATTGAAGTGGGTCGGTCACGTGATCAAATCCTGTGAAGGCCGAAGGCCTTGTCAGAAGATTTGATCACGTACCGACCCACTTCAATTCCCATTGAAGTTTTTAAACTTGTTATTTATTACTTATATATACATTTGAGACGGACAATCGAATGTAATCGAATATAAATATTGCACTAACTGTACGTCGTAGATTTTGCTAGGTGTAAATCGGCTTGAAAAGCGGTTACGCTTCAAATTCATCTGGCAAAGGATTCTGTTTTGAAGGGAATATTCTGTGAAAGGCTACTTGTGATCAATTATAGTGAGCATATTGGTGTCTGGGAAATTCATGAGAACCCATATTCGATGTTAAAAAAACACATGTTTGATAATAAAAAGTTGGTGGAATTTCGGTCGGAAATGGATGGATGGAGACACTTGTCTGGACCAGATAACTTGAAATCAAGTACAAAATTTGATCAAAAACATAAAATCTACGATTTCAGTCAGGCATATTTATTAATTTATGATGTTGACATGGAAACACTGGCGACAGCTTACTGTGACAGTATTCTATATATGTATAATGATTACTCCCTATCATTATTATGCATGATACAATGACTGCTCCCTTGTCACGTGTTCAATAAAAGTGGAAGCCATGCCAAAGCCATGCTTGTTGTTCCTCATGAATTCAAGAGTTGATTTATGAACAAGTACATCGTGAAACATGGTGTCAGAAGTGTTTACTAAATCTTTATGGTGAGTCAAACGTCTTGATTACCTGTCATTTGTTTAAATTGCTCCAAATATTGAAGAATCTACCCGATTTTCCTTTGGATCGAATTTCCTCTGTTCGTAACAAACAATGCCTGAAGAGAATGAGCAAGTTGAAGCAGCACCTGCTGCAGTACAAAATTTACATGTTTTTCCTATGAATATACCATTTCCTAAGCCCTTAGATTTGAAAGGTGACCTCGCTACCAAATAAGGAAACATTTCAAAAGAGTGTTGGAAAACTATGAGATCGCTACGGGGTTAAGGGAGAGAGATACCCAACTCAGATGTGCAACATTTCTCACTTGTCTAGGATCTGATGGTTTACGCGTTGTAGATGGACTAAAATTTGATACAGATGACGATAAGAAAGATATTGATAAGGTTATTACAGCACTTGACACTTACTGCGTAGGCCAAACAAACGTCATATATGAGCGTTACACATTTAACTGTAGAAATCAGGAACAGTCTGAACATATAGATGCTTATGTTGCAGAATTGCGTACACTAGCGAAAACATGCAAATTTGGAGACATGGAGGATGAGATGATAAGGGATCGTATCGTTATCGGAGTTCGAGATAACCATACCCGTAAAAAGTTGTTACAGGAGAAGAAACTGGACCTTCAGTGTTGCATAGATATATGCCGGTCGAATGAGAAATCTGAATCTCAACTCAAATCTATTGCAGATGTTCACCATGTCAAGGTCAAACAGAAAGTGAAACAAGACAATCATGGTAAAAATGAGAAACGTAGAGACAACCGCACACAAACCATACCAACTGTTCAGACTTGTCGTTACTGTGGGAGAACACATCCGCGCAGTCGAGAGAAATGCCCAGCGTTTGGACAGACTTGCAACTTATGTGGCGAGCAGAACCATTTTGAGAGGAAATGTCCTAAAAAATAGCCTCCCAGAGCAAAACATCATGAAAAACGTCGTGGTACATGGAACCGCAGAAAGTTCCAAGTTCATGAGATTGAGACTCGTGAAAGTGACTCATCAGATGAACTCGTTCTTAGTATTGAACAAGTGCACTCGCTATCATCAAAACGTCATACGGCTGTTATGAATATCCATGATAAATATGTGGAGTTTCAGTTGGACAATGGGTCTACAGCTAATATCTTGTCAGCTCATGTGTATGTACGTCTCACAGGTGACAAAGAACTCCAGAATCTTAAGAAAAGTGATGTTACCCTACAGATGTACAACAAATCGGAAACCAAGGCTTTGGGCACCATTAGAATGTCTGTTCGAAATCCGTGTAATGGAGAGAAGTATAATCTAGAATTCGTTATTGTGCCAGGCAAAGAGCTACATTGTATTTTGGGTAAGCGAGCTATTGAAGGAATGGAACTTATTACTGTACATACTGACAAATTCCTCACAAAGACACAAGTTCAGAATGACGTCATTTCACAGATTGACATTAAAGAAGAAATAAATGAGAAGTATGCAAATGTGTTCAAGGATCTAGGTAAACTGGATGGCAAGCTTCATTTGGAGGTCAAGGACAGTGTGCGACCTGTACAGTTACCGCCTAGGAAAATACCGTTAGTCTTGAAACCAAAAGTGAAAGAAGAGCTAAACCGACTGGAGAAGTTAGGTGTCATTAAACCAGTTAACACACCAACCGACTGGGTATCTGCCTTAGTGGTGGCACCTAAACGCACGGTGACATTCGCCTATGTATTGACCCGAAACCACTCAATGAGGCATTAATGCGGAACAATTACCCAACACCTACTATAGAGGATATTCTACCAGAATTGCATCAAGCTCGTATATTCTCCATTGTTGATGCAAAGGATGGTTTTTGGCACGTTGAGCTTGACAGTGATAGCAGCTACCTAACTACATTTGCTACGCCATGGGGCAAATATCGCTGGTTAAGGATGCCATTTGGTATCTCTGTCGCACCTGCGGAGTTCCAAAAAAGAATGGACGACGCCTTAAGTGGCATTCCAGGTATCAGACCTATACACGATGATGTGTTAATTTACGGATGTGGTGAGACAGATGAAGAAGCTGAAAGGGATCATGATGTGAAATTTCGAGCCCTAATGCAGAGATGTAGGGAGAGAAACATAAAGCTTAACCAGAGTAAGATGAAACATAAGCTTACATCTGTTACTTATCTTGGATATGTGATCAGCAAGGATGGGTTGAGTGTTGACCCACAAAAACTCAAGGCGATACATGAAATGCCTACCCCAGAAGACAAGGCAGGAGTTCAGAGATTATTGGGAATGACAAATTTTGTGCAACGTTTTGCACCGCAGTTGTCTGAGATCACCAGTCCACTTCGAGATCTTCTGAGAGCAGAGACTCATTTTGCATGGGATCCGGATATCCACGGACAAGCATTTGACAAGGTCAAGGACACCTTGTCTCGTGCACCTGTTCTTAAATTCTTTGATGCAAAGAAGAAACTGACTTTGCAATGTGATGCTTCTTCTACTGGACTAGGTGCATGCCTTATGCAAGATAATCATCCTATCGCATATGCTTCACGTTCACTGACAGCCACAGAACAGAACTATGCACAGATAGAGAAGGAGACTTTAGCCGCAGTGTTTGGCATGGAACATTTTGAAAATAATACATATGGACGACATGTTATGATACAGTCGGATCATAAACCCCTAGAAATCATTGTACGTAAAAACCTGCATAATGCACCCAAGCGTCTGCAGAGAATGCTATTAAGATTGCAGAAATTTGACTACAGCATTGAGTACAAAAAGGGCACAGAGATGTATTTTGCTGACACTTTAAGTAGGGCCTATCTTATTACTGACTCTGATTCAGTTGAAGAGAACATGCATGACATACACAGCATCAACCACCGCACCTACTTAGCAATAACTGATGAACGATATTCACAGATAAAGGAAGCTACAGAAATAGATGAAGCTCTACAGTTGCTGAAGAAGATCATACTTGATGGATGGTCTCACTCTTCGAAAGAAGTCCACCCGGATATACAAGTGTATTTTCCGTTTAGAGAGGAGTTAGTCGTTCAAAACGGTGTCATCTACAAGGCCGAGCGAGTCGTTCCTAGATCTATCACACATAGTATAGTACAGCGTATACATAACTCTCATATTGGTATCCAAGGATGTATCCGTCGTGCCCAGGACTATGTCTACTGGCCAAATATGTCGAAGGACATTGAATCGTACATTGGTCAATGTGCTGCATGTAATACTTACCAGGATGATCAACAGAAGGAGCCTATGATCAGCCATGAGATTCCTATTCGTCCTTGGCAAACAATAGGATGTGATCTGTTTGAATGTGAAAGCAAAGATTACCTCATGCTCGCAGATTACTATTCAGATTACTTTGAGGTGGAGAGACTTCACAGTAAAACAGGAAGTTCAATCACTCGCATGATGAAATCACAGTTCGCACGTCATGGAATCCCAGATAGAGTAATATCGGACAATGGACCGCCATTTGGAAGTCGAGAGTTTGCAGAATTCAGTAAAAGTTATGAATTCGAGCATGTTACATCGTCCCCTAGATATGCACAATCTAATGGCAAGGCCGAGAATTAACTCTGTAAAGATTGCCAAACGGCTTATTCATAAGTGTGCAATGGACGGTAAAGATCCATTTTTGGCGCTTCTGGATCTACGCAATACGCCTACTCAAGGAATAGGCTACTCACCTGCACAACGGATTTTTGGTAGACGCACCAAAACGCTATTACCAGTAGCTGAACATCTACTCAGACCACGTTATGCTGACCGCACCAGGGAAAAACTCTATGAACGCAAGGAACGTCAGACATACTACTATAATCGAGGAGCTAAGGAGCTGAAACCCTAATCAGAAGGAGATACCGTTAGTATTAGACCTACAGGAAATAAAAAGGGATGGAAAAAAGCATTTGTTCAGGAACAGAGTGATATACATTCATACAAAGTGACAACCGAGGATGGTCGTGTATACCGACGCAATCGACGTCATCTCCGATTTAGTCGAGAACCATTCCGCCCTGATCATGAAAATTCAGAGCCTGAACTGTTGACTGATCAATCACAGTGCAATGATGACCCAGTTCCTATAATAGTCAGTAATGAACCAAAACCAGCTCCACCAACATCAGAATTACGCAATACACAAGATTCCGTACCTGTTCAGCGTCCCAAGCAACCAGTATCATCAAGTTCAATGAAAACACGTAGTGGTCGTGTAGTTGTGAAACCAAATGCGTTACCATGATGTGTAGGGCAAAGGTAGATAGTGAAAGAGGTAATAAAAACTCCTCTTCTACCTATTTCTAAGTTTAGCTTAGACTTCATTGTAAAGGAAGACTGTGTTGAGGGCATAATAATCCCTAGTCTCCTTAACAGGGCAAATAGCCTTGTATTTGCTAGTCAGTCTTGATTGTTATGAAATCTTGTTTCTCATTCTCTGACATAATATTGCATGTTGAATGTACAAACTGTTTGTTTAATGTTTAATTATTATAGTGATTTGGTCATGGTTTTCAAACACTCAAATGGACAATCATTCAAGGACAGTAAAGTTTCAGTATTAGCAGAAATTTGTAAACTTAACATTTTAAAGAAAGGGGGATGTGACAGTATTCTATATATGTATAATGATTACTCACTATCATCATTATGCATGATACAATGACTGCTCCCTTGTCACGTGTTCAATAAAAGTGGAAGCCATGCCAAAGCCATGCTTGTTGTTCCTTATGAATTCAAGAGTTGATATATGAACAAGTACATCGTGAAACACTTACATTGTTAAGACAACGTCACAACGATCTCGATGATGGAGGTGTGCCTACCGAACTTCCAAAGCGCAGTGTTTGTCAGCTGTTTGTGGCGTGATTGCATTACATTGATGTTTTTCAGCAGATTTTTAAATTTATTGTGAGTAAAGTTTAATGAAAAAAAAATTATTATCACAGAGGTCTGCGAGAAAAATAAGGGTAAACGTTGAGACTATGCAGCTCAGACATGAAACTTATAACACGTAGTTTTCTATTCTGTATGTAAAATCGATCAAGAACTGTATTAAATACTCGTTTACATTGTAAATAAAATGATTATTATTTTACTTGCGTATTTTGTACATTTTTATGCATGAAAAACATGCTATATTGATAAGTAAGTCCTTTTATGTAGATATTGCTGCGCTGCGTGATTAGGTCACGTAATGACCTATGACTTTCGAAAAACTTCATACAGGTATGAAGATATTTGCTCTCTGCATGTTTATATAATACAGAGATACCACAAATGTATATATTTCGCATTAGCTATCGTGTGAACACAGTTTAATTCACATTAGTTTAATTCGCATTATTTTACTTCGCATTAATTTACTGCGAATTAAACTCTCTGTGTGAACAGGGCATAAATTGCGTTCACATGGCAGTAAAATGCAACGTAAACTAATGCCCTGTTCACAGGGAGTTTAATTCGCAGTAAATTAATGCGCAGTATACTAATTCGAATTAAACTAATTCGCATTAAATTCTCCGTGTGAACAGGGCACTAAATGAATGACGTACCTTCACCATCACAAGAGAAGCTTCGGTTACCACTTCACGCGTGAATATCATCTTCGGACTTGTTTGTACAGATACTGCAATGTCTGTTGTCAATGTTTCTTTCCATTGACATGTGTTCACTGCATTGTCAAAAATCCAGGCAAGAATCCTGACTTTCACTTCCGAGGACATTAAACGGTTTGATGGATAGTCTCTGTCTCCCCATCCGTCTGCTGCACTAGTTATCGGATCTAGCAATTATTGGAATATTTCCTTATCTTTGTATGATATATGTTATTATCATTTTGTTATACATATAATCGAAAGCTAGAAGAAAAAAATGTTTTCTTACAGTTCAGTTTAACCCACAGTCGAACATGAGAAGCATTGTATGCAAATGACAGTCCACCAGCTTGTTCACCACAACCAAGACATCCCGGAACGCCTATGTCAGATGAATTAATAAAAATAGAGATTTATAAAAACGAAATAGTGACTCCTCTCTTCAATTTTTGCTTGCAGAAAATAATTCAATTTTATTAAAGTTTTGTTTGAAAATTAAAGTGAACAATTGCTACAAAACTACCGCCTCCTTCCGAAATAAGTCCCGGCATTTCGTCCAAAATTGTTATTGGTTCAGCTTGGACTACAATCATATCTGGATTTGAAGTCAAATTGATGGGCACCTCTAATTGAATTTTATCTACAAAGTATGGCATGTCAAACGTTGCAATATTCGACCTTTTCCATTTGTAATGTATAATTTTCCATTATTTTCTATTTGTATTGTAAAAAATACTTTTTTATTTGCATTATATAGTCGAATAATGCAACTTTTGACATGCAACACAAAAGAAAGATGAATTTTATTTTCTTTTTGTTTGCCAAAAAAAAGCTGAGAAGTATATATATTCGTTTTGTTTTTAATCAACTTTATATCCATTTAGGTTTTTATTTGCTTTGCTGCAAGGACTTTAATAAATTGTTTGAAAAAAGTTCTTCCTAGGGATGTTAAGTTTGCCGATAATTCATATTTTAATATTCAATGAGCATGTTAATATATTAGAATAATCGAGGAAATAAATAAGTTCTGATTTATCTTCATATGTGTCATCCTACCCTCATGATGCAATAGGTTTTTGACATTGGTATTAGGAAATAGAATTGGATGTAGACCTTTGTATGCATACTGTAAGGAATTCTACGTGTTTGTCAATGTTTGAAATAAGTATATAGATTTGAAGTGTATACAACCAAAACATAAATTTGAAAAATGACATTTTGAAGCTCCAAATGATGAAACCAATCGTCTTAAAAAAGGCTTGATTGTTACAGTTTTGTTAAATATACTGCTTGGGTTAAAATATTTAACAATTGTCGGCCTGATTAAAAAAATAATTATAATCTTCGATGCAATGTTTTGAAATATAAACAAACATTTCCAAACTTGCGACAATTTTTCTTAACCAATCTCCCGAAAATGCTTTTTAATTTTGGAATACGTATTGCCCCAAGATATTCAAGTTATTCAAGGATTAATTGGGAAAATAAGCTCAGCACAACAATACAGACTGATGAAAAATATAAATAAATGAGCACAATAAAAATAAAAGCGAGTAATTTTATTTCGCTGGTGGCGTTTCTCGCGAATTTACGCGATAATTAATTCCTCGCGTAAATTTAGGAATCTACAGTATGACAGGGATAATTCCGACACTCCGGAACAAGAGAAAGTATATACTACATGGTTATTTTTTTTTTTTACAAAATAAAAAATTCGTTTAATTAAAACTGAATTCATTAATATGACGACTGTAAATCACTTTTTTATTTCCGAGAACTTTATTAACGCTAGACCGCGTACTTGCGAAAATTTTAATCCCGCGTATACTTATGTCACTAAAGTTTATTTAGAACAATAAGCAAAATTTCGTGAAAATTAATTATGTTTCGCTATTGTAATACCATATGTCTGTTATACGAAAATAAGGTGTCACGAAAATTTTGTGATCTACATTATATCCCTTTTAAGGACCCTCTATACACCACGAAAACTGTTTTTTGGACTCTAAGAAAATTATAACATATAAAAGTTTATCTGTTTAATTTTCAGCATAGAGTACCTGCCACTGACCCCCAGAAAAATATTCAAAGAAATTAATTTTTGTTGAACTGAAATTATTGTTGCTTACTTAAATGGGAAAAGTACATGCAAATAAAGTATTCAATTAATCCATTTAGGCCAAATAAAACTAATTGAATTGCTTGAATTGATTACAAATTGACTTAAGATGTCAATTTATTTCATTTAAGATATAAGAGCAGATCACTCTAACTGCAGAAAAATACCATGGAATCGGAACTCTTTAGTGTGCAGTATATAGAGGGTTCTTAAACAGTTCACATTCCTATTTTACCTTGATGTCTTGATTTTATTGTGTATATGAAACCAGAATCGTACTGTGGGGGCAAATCGTCATATCGCCACATCTTTACTCGAACTTCCGCATCAACAAATTCATTTTTAATTTTCTCGTTTGAATGAGAGGTTGGTTGGTACCAAACGTCCTTTTCTCCTTTTAAAATAAATTTTAACATTACGAACCATTTTCCAGATTGCAACATAGAAATTGTGTTAACAAATGTACAAGTCCCGTAACAAATATTTTTCTTCATAAAAGTCAAATATATTAGAAGTTGTTATTAAAATATATGTATTGTTAATGCATTATATATGAAAAGTAAAAAAAAAACCACTTAAGTTTGTTTTATCTTTTTGTACATCCATACATAGTAATGTTGTAGTGATGTACAAATGGTAAACATAATCACAGAAAATGTATGATTTATTTAAAATTTAAAAACAGCTCATATTATCTCGAGAAAGTTCTATCATTAGTTGGGCCTTTCTCCAACTTGACGGTACATTTTTAAAATGCTGGAATTTACCACTATTTGGCCGTAAAACAACAATAAGGTTGAGGGGGCAGCTTCCAAATAAAAATTTACATATTTACATTTAAAACTACATCAAAAAATTTCAAATTTCTCAGAATGAAGAATAAGTGGAGGGCGCCTCCTCTGTCCCCCACCCCCACCCTGCGTACTACGGGCCTGCTCAAAAAATTTATGCCTGATACTAGTATGTCAGAACATTTCAATTATAACATGTATGTATGTATGTGTGTGTGTGTATATATATATATATATATATATATATATATATATATATATATATATATATATATATATATATATATATATATATATATATATATATATATATATATATATATATATATTAGGGATGGCAATCGAATACAGAATTGCTAATCGGTTAACCGAAAGACGTTCCGACCGATTTATCGGTTAATCGTATCAAAATACACTTTTTCCTTATATTTCATTTTTCATTTTTCAAGTAAACTCTAGTTATATATACAAGAAAACTGAAAAAGGCGTTAATGCTTGATTAGTACGCTACATATTATATTTTATTTCAACGGCAAGAACAAATAAGGAAACCATGAAACATCTCTTAAATATCGCAGAAATTGATATTGTTACAACACAAGGTCATTGTGCATTGTCACCATAAACAGAAACTGAGTCTGAAATAATTTACAATGTTTGTTTGAAAATATAATTTGATAGATAACTGCAAAGGACAGACTGGGTAAGATACACATATAGCAATCATTTAACAGAACTCAACAAAGATTTAATTAATATCACAATTAAGACAGGCTGGGTAACGACATGGTATTTAAACAGCAATTAACACTTCGCAAAGTGATGAATTACCCCCAACAAATTCAATCTTTAGAGTCTTAATTAAATTATTTACCTCCAAATCAGCCGAATTAAATGTGGAAACGTTATAACTTATCAATATTCGGGGGGTTTTTTTAACATTGTAAATCGTGTTTTAAGGAAATTTACACCTATTTTATTTTTTTCCGACTAACCGATTACAGATTTTTTAACCGATTACATCGTTCCGACCGAGTAACCGGTTAACCGATTACAAATTGCCATTTTATATATATATATATATATATATATATATATATATATATATATATATATATATATATATATATATATATATATATATATATATATATATATATATACGTCTTCATAAATCAAATCATCAAGCAGTGAAAACACTTCCAAATCTACCAAAGATTCGTCCTAAAGATTTGAATAATGAATTTCAATAAGAGACTGAAGTGAGCTATAACCATTGCTTATCGATTTTTGAAATCTGGAGATCAATACATTTTATGGAACTAATTATGTATACAAAGGGCCTTTCAAATAGAAGATAAAATCATTGTGAAATATTAAATTAGGGTACGGTAATTTTGTTTTCCTACTGAAAAGGAAGATTCTAGTTACGAGCAAGAGGCCTTTAAGGTCACCTGAGTCGTATCCGTGTTCGTCCGTCGTAGTGAGTTACTCGTCTGTTGTAAACTTTTGTGCATTTTTCAGCTTTTTCTCTGGGATGGCTGAAACAATTCTAACCAGGTTTGGTACATGTATGAAGCAATTTGTGAATTTAATGGTCTCTTCCTCCCCTGGGGACTGAGGGATGTGGCAAAAACTATAAAATTTATGCGATCTTCAAAAATCTTCTTTTTACTCCTGTTAATAGCAGTCTAAAAACTTGTGCTTCACTCATGGACAATGAGAAGGGAAAAAATGAATTATTATATTGTGTATTTAACTCTTCCAAAGTTGTAATATTCATGGCTTTTTGTTCCTGCATTCAGGCCCCAGAGTGGGGCTAAATCGGACATGCTAGTAATTTACAAATACATTACTTTTTTGAAAATTGTCCTCTTTTAAAAAGACATCTAGTTGGAAAACTTATTATATGATTTAAGGAGTACTTAACCCTATTTCTAAACTATAAGGTTGCTTCTTTTTCATATAGCTTAAGACCGCAGGGTGAGTCTAAGTTGATCAGACACTGAAAATGCACTATACGGGTAACAGAGAAACGGCTGTTTACATGATTATAATTAACACTCACTCTCTACCAAAATTGTAAAATTCATGGCCCCCTGATCAGTGGTTCAGACCCTAGGGTTGGGTTAGGTTGGTCATTTATTGCATTGCATTACATCATTCAATATCTTTTTTAAATATCATAGATATCTAGCAGACAAATTGTATGCATTGTTATAATTAGCTGTAGGCCTGTAATAAAATAATTTATGTCTCCGATGTCTATGGGTCAGGCTACAGCGTGGGGCTCAGTTGGATGTACCGGTATATGGAAAATTTATTACCTTACCTTCAGAACTTGTATGGGACAAACGGGACAAACTGTATGGATATAACAATGATTATACAGTCCTCAGCACCCTAAAAAATGTTGTCACATGGGGCCAGAGTTCCATTTCCAGGTTTGGCTAAAGTGGTGAAACCAGAGGTACTCATAATATACTAAGGTTACCATCAAGGCCCATGGGCCTCTTTTTTAAGTCCTATGGTCAGTTACCAACAACAAATTTACTATTTCTAATTTCAAAATAACTAGGAAATGCTAAACTTTTTTCTGTACACCTTATATAGCTCCAAAAGTTAAGATGCTTAATTGCAGATTTTTACATATTTAAAAACATAAAGGAGTGAAAGAGACCAGTCTTTGCATATATTTACATCATGTATTTGCTTTGGATTAGATTGACAACATTTTTACACTCACTTGTCTTTTTCCTTATCTTATGAAATATTTGCAGAAATTGTGATTCATGACATTTGCGTAAAAATTTTAAATTTATATTGATATTCACTTAAAACAAAACCTTGATTGTTCTGATATTTTTAATGCACAGGTCTGGAATGGTCTTTATTACGACCAAAATAATATGTTTAATTTCAAAATACAAAGAAACAAAAAAAAGTAAGAAAAAAACAAACAAACAAAAAATACAAGTTTACAAACCCAGATATACAGCTTTCCCGTCATCAGCTTTATTATACTTGTTTGGCAAGAAAATTAGCACACCACTAGCATTGTAGAAATAAACAACCCCGCCATATTTCTCATTTTTGTCATCATCTCGTGGCGAGGAACCGAAAGCGTTAAAGATGAACGATTCTCCACCATCTTCGACTTTTACTTCAACTATTACTTTGACAGGTCTGGTTGTTGTTTTAAAACCATCCAGAAAAGGGACGTAGAATTCACACTTATTGTCATCTTGAGCTTTTACGGTGATCCATTCACTGGTAAATGTTGGTTCATAAAGAGTTATTCCTTCTGCTATTTCGATTGATTAACATGAACATTATTTCATTTATAATTCGGTAATCAGAGACAGATATGTTGGTTCATAAAGAGTTATTCCTTTTTGCAATTTCAATTAATAAGCTTGAACATTATTTCAATTATCATTCGGTAATCAGTGACATAAATGTTGGTTCATAAAGAGTTATTCCTACTGCATTTTCGAATGATAAACGTGAACATTTTTTCAATTATAATTTGGTAATCAGAGACATAAATGTCGGTTTATAAAGAATTATTTCTTCTGCAATTTCGATTGATAAATTTGAACATTATTTCAATTATAATTTGGTAATCAGAGACATAAAAATGTTTGTTCATAAAGAGTTATTCTTTCTGCAATTTCGACTGATAAACTTTAACATTATTTCATTTATTATTCGGAAATCAGAGACTGTTTTACTAACAACTACCCAGATTCGCCTGTAAGTTTTAAATAAAATAAGAAAGTATAATTGCTATTCATTTAAGGTTCATCACCCTTCTGCTCACTCATGGTTTTTTTTCCCTTAGCACTCATGATTTTCCAAAAGAAATATCATTTATAACTAAAATGCACATAATTTCAAAATACCTTGCGGGGCAAAATTTTTTAAGAATGGCCTACATGAATTAACTTGACAATTTTATAAAGGAATAATAGTAATTTATCCCAATGAGAGTTATACCTCTTATCAGAGGGTCAATGCACCTTATTTTTTTCCTAATTACAGCACCTTTATTATAGTGTACTAGTATCTTTGATGACAACGTATATGATATCGTTGTCAACTTCGCGAATTAAAAATCAAACAAACAAACGATATTTAAAATACATGAAACACTTAATTCTATGAAGTTAGTAAACTTTTTTTTTTCAAATACCTACCACTGTATAACACAAATCCAATATGAAAGAAAGCATGCAAAAATTGTGCATTTGTCATTTTTCTTTAACAGTGTGTGAAAGTGAATTGTCCAATATTGACTGCTCGGTAATTGACTTTGTCAGATGACTTCTCATTGAATAATTGATGAGTAGAAAATTGTATAATGAAGTTGACGATTCCTTTATGATAAATATGGCTGACATATAATCAATAAAGAGGAAGTGCTCTGAGAGGGATATGATTTTTTTTTCTCGAAAAACAATTTTCCTAGAAGATATCAGCCAATTTTTGCATTTATATATGATTGATGATATTGAAAACAACTAAATATATATGACAATTCGAATGGAGAAGTTCTGTTATGTGTTTATTTTAGTTCATATCTTTCATCTACTAGTTTTTAACGTATCACGAGGAATGATTTCGGGTTTTATTTTCTTAATGGTTTAGAGTTATTGATATAAAAGGATCAAAAGCTATTAAGATTTGATATTGTCATTAGAGAAGATTAACAGCTTCTAAGAATAACGAACTCGGTTTTGCGTCTGTAAATAATATGAATAAGATCTGATATTGTCATTAGAGAAGATTTACAGCCTCCAAGAATAACAAACTCTGTTTTGCATCTGTATACAATGTATAATATGAATAAAATATCTTAGGACTCAAAAGATCACATCGCACCCAAACCAACAAGCATTAGCAATACTAGCCCCCTACCGGCAAGTGTAACCTGGTTCCCGTTAAAAATTGAAAATGCCATAATTCCGTCAAAAATCAATGAAGCGGAACATAATGAAACTTAATCTGTAACTCATCAAGGTAAAGTCACATACCAAAAATCAGATCAATATCTGCAAGCGTTTAGAAAAAAAATTGCGGAAAACCCTGAAAAATTGAAAGATCGTTATTCCGTCAAAAATCATTAAAGCGGAACGAAATGCAAACTTGATCTGTAACTCATCAATATACACCCATATACCAAAAATCAGCTCAATATCTGCAAGTATTTAGAAAAAAAAGTGCGGAAAACCAAGTGGGTCAGACTGACAGACAGACAGAGGGACAAACGCTCTACCACTGCGCCACGCGGGCGACTATTATAAATAAATGGAAGAGTGGAATTTAAGATGTTCTATAAATTATACAGGTATTTCTAACTCTGTCCATATAAGCGTAATTTTTGATAAATATACACACCATAAAGCTATTCTGAAAATCCTTTTACCAGTCTGATAAAAATCAGATCCTTTCATCCACTCAGATAGATAGCTACTCAAGAGTAGCGATCTATGCGAGCGGATCAAAGGATCAGATTTTAATTAGATCGTCTTCATCAGAACATGCGCTTTTTCATACAGGTAAGCACATCGCTACAAAATTTCTACCATGTTGTGACTATTGATTTGTATAAAAAGAAATTATTATGAAAATGGTATTTAACTCAACCAAATAAATTTTTATAAACTATATTTTAAAGCTTATAATAGCAAATCTTTTTCTTTTTTTAAATTCTAAGCTTTATTAATTGATTAAACATGCATGTAAACAACATAAAAATCACGTAAATATGTAAAACTTATCCCACTTGATATAAATCGAATTAAGATGTACCTTTTGAAATGGCTTTTGCATCCGTATTTAAACTCGTATAAATAAATTTTATGAGAGAATTCTTTAAATTATTTATAAATATAGACTTGTCCTTAGTGGTAAATAAAAAAATTTATTAACAGCGACGATTTCTTAGAACCCCTAAGATGCATACATGTATATTGATAAATTTTATTGCAGTGTGTTTTCATTTGCAATTTAGAGTATATATATATATATATATATATATATATATATATATATATATATATATATATATATATATATATATATATATATATATATATATATATATATATTAGGGATGGCAATCGAATACAGAATTGCTAATCGGTTAACCGCAACACGTTCCGACCGATTAACCGGTTAATCGTATCAAAATACACATTTTCATGACTTTTTTCCATGAACCTCTATTCACATAAACACAAGAAGACTAAAAAGACATTAAAAGTTAGAAACATTCTGTTTACCTTGATCACGAATCTTCATGTAAATATATATTTTATTTCAATTTCAATCGACAGGAAAAAAATTAAGAAAACCCGTGAAACATGCCTGAGATATCAGACATAGATGATGTCACACAAGTTTTCATACAGCATTGCTACCATAATCAAAATTAAGTCGGAACTTTCGCTTCATTTACAATGTTTGTCTAATAAATTATAAGACAAACATTGTAAATATAATTTGATGGATAACTGCAAAAGATACATACCAATTCACTAAGCTCATACTTGATTTACTTAATTATAATATCATTAAAGAGTAACAGGACTGTCGGGGTAACGACTTGTTGTTTAACCAGTAATTAACACTTCACAAACTGACCAATTACCCCGCGATCTCAATCCGGCGAGCCATAATTACCACCAAATCAACTTAAATAAGTATGTGAAAACGCTAAATTATCAACATCTATGCAGAGGTTTGTTTTATAAAAATGAATTTAAGAAAACTACATTCAAATTTACATACATTCTATTTTTTTTCGACTAACCGATTACAGATTTTCTAACCGATTACCATCGTTCCGACCGAGTAATCGATTAACCGGTTACAAACTGCCATCCCTAATATATATAAATATATATATATATATATATATATATATATATATATATATATATATATATATATATATATATATATATATATATATATATATATATATATATATATATATATATATATATATATATATATATATATATATATATATATAATACAACTATTGATGTTTTGTTTGTTTGTTTGTTTGTTTTTTCTTTTTCTTTTTTTTTTTTTTTTTGAGGTCAATACGATTATTTAGCCACCCGAGGAGTACAATATTGTACCTCGAAGGTGGCTAAATCATCGTATTAACTAAGAAAATCAGCAATAATTGTTGTATTTTATGATTCAATGATTAAATGATACGAACTCATTAAGCAGTTCATGCCATCTTACTTGTTTACATTTGCCGAAGTCCTAGCCGAATACAATGAGAGAAGCAGGGTTAAATAATTGGCATGTCAAACGTTGCAATATTCGATCTTTTCCATTTGTATTGTATAATTTTCCATCTGTACTGGGTTTTTTTTTAAATTTTGTATTGTATTATTTTGTATTTTTTTTTTATTTGTATTGTATAATTTTTATTTGTATTCTATAATTTTCCATTTGTATTGTATAATTTTAAATTTGTATTGTATAATTTTCCATTTGTATTGTATAATTTCTCATTTGTATAATTCTCCTTTTGTATTCTATATTTGTCCATTTGTATTGTAAAATTATACAATACAAATGAAAAATTATACATTACAAATGAAAAATTATACAATATAAATGGAAAATTATTGAATATAAAAATAAAAATTATACAATAACAAATAAAAAGTTATACAATACAAGTAAAAAATTATACAAGTAAAAAAATTATACAATACAAATGGAAAATTATAAAATACCAATTAAAATTATACAATAGAAATGAAAAATTATACAATATAAATGCAAAATTATACAATACAAATGCAAAATTCTACAATACAAATGAAAAATCATACAATACAAATGAAAAATTATTGAATACAAATGAAAAATTATACAATACAAATGAAAAATTATACAACACAAATGAAAAATTATAGAATACAAATGGAATATTATAGAATACAAATAAATATCATACAATACAAATGGAAAAATATACAATTCGAATGGAAAATTATAGACTGAATTTAAATGGAAAATTAATCAATACAAATGCAAAAGATCGAATATTGAAACTTTTACATGCCATATAAATGAACGTAACCAGTCGTGTTCATTTGGAATTTTTTTTAAAAATCTACTTTAGTTGACAGGCTCTTTTACAGGAATGATTTTGAAAGGGGGACATTATCAGGGAAAAATGACAGCTGAAAAAAAATCTTAACCCCTACGAACAGAGATTTTAAATCTTAAAACTTTGTTTTGGGGTTGGGTTGGGTTTAGGGGGTGGGTGAATAAGGTCCATTAGAGGGGGACTAGCCTTTCAATGAATATTTATAGTCTAAATTAAAAGTAAATATTTACGTTCAGCAAAAAAATTGTGTGGGGGTCGGTCCCCTGCACCCCCCATCCCACAACTAACCCCACCCCAAATTATAAGTTATGTTCACCTGAGTGGAAGTCGGTAGCTTTTCGAAACTATCTGTATCAATTTGGAATTTCCCGATCTATTTTTTTACCAATGTAGAGAAAATAAATCCTTATATTCACCTGGAAGGTCACGTGCAGGTGAATATAACGTAGTATTTTTTCTGCATTGTTGGATCTCAGCCAATCATAGAGTTAGGTATTATTCAATCATATAATGAATATATTTATTACATTTTCAATAGTGAAATACTGTGATTTATTTATTGAATAAATGTTATATTCTGTCACAGTGTGAAAGTGTGAAAGGATACCAAAGTGATATTCTGTCACAATGTGAAAGTATATCAAAGTAAGTAAAACATAATTTCTGGTCTGACATAAGATAGAGAGAGTAACTAAACCATCTTGATAGAGAGTAAACTGCCAATTTCTTCCCAAATATGTTGCTAAAAGTCCATGTTACAATGTTTTCAATCTCACAATAGCTAAGCTATGACGTCTCAACCGCTCCACTAAGACGTCACAGCCTATGACACTGTGTTGAGAAATGGCAGAGGGAAAGGAAAAAGTATTGAACAATAAAATGTGATTTTGAAGAATTTCATCCTAAGAAAGCGAATTGTAGTTTAAGTTCCAGACGTAGAATTAAAACCAAGTTCTTAAGTACAGATATAATAATGAGCCTTACAAACAAAGACAATATTGTTACAGACCTTTTCTGCTGGAACCTCTACATATTGTTCATGTAGTCTTTCTAATTCTTTTTATTACCTCCGATTTAGTGAAAATAAAAGGATAGATGGTTTGCATATTGTCTTTTAATTTTCTAATACGGTTCTCTAATATATTTCTAAAACACTTCATCCATTCTGACAAAGTGTTCAGTTCCCCCTTCATATTTAGCCCAACAATCTGGCATAATCTTCGACAGAATTCATAATAGAAATGTTTTGTTGCGAAAAGATCGGGATTTAGGACCTTTTAAATTGATTGTCTTCATTTCAACTGTATTCACATCACCGGTGATGACGTGTCCAGAGGACTATAGCTGAAAGAAGAAGAGCAGAGTACACTCAAAAGGATATTGTTTTAGCTGTTCATTATCTAGACTGTAAGATTTGGTTTCGAAGCAACAGTTTGAGAATACCTGTGGGAAATGCAGGGTGTAGACTTCAACTTGAAATATGGTGGAATGCAAGACTGAACTTTTGATTAAGCAGTGTTCCAGCTAGGGTGAAATGGAGGGGCGCCGGGCCCCGCCCTCAAATCAGTGCGCCCCTCTGCCTCCCACAGGCGCCCCTGTGTCCCTTGTTAGTTTCCCGTATCATTCTGACTGTCCTTTTCCCTCATTAAAATAATTAATGTGTTCCAAAGCAGATTACCTAAGGACAATCAGCAATTCACACCTCCTAACCATGGACGATTACGCAATGAAACTCGCATCACGGTACCTATGTACTATACAGGTGCTTACTTTCAATAACAGGTGATTAGGTAATTACTTTGATCACTTGACAGTCTGAATAGGGGTTAAAAGCTGAAATAATTTGAGAATGTCCAAGCTATCTGTTTTAATTAATATAAAACTAGGGTCTTGTATTATAGCGTTCTAAAAATAAATCACGAAGTGAAAGTAGCATTAACATTGACCTTCACCCTTCACTTTTATTGAAATCGTTAACGTTTTTCTAAAAAAAAAGGGAGGAATTTAAAATTTAAATAGTACAGAAACAAGTATAAATATTCAATTAACAGAAACAATTATTTTCTCCTTCATTATAATTTTTGACACTCTGGAAGGTATTTTATACATTTACAGATATGTAACTGTATTCGATTTCATTGCAGAAGTTTAAAATCTTAATTTAATTAATCAATTATCTGCCACCAACATGACCAATATGATAAAACAAGCAAAAATGATATTAGCTTTAAATTGTAAGTTTAATACTAATATGTTACTGATGACCTACAGATACTGTATCTATTTTATACATTTGCCAAAAACAGACTCAATCAGCACATGAACATCAACATGTACTGCACTGAATAATGAAAGACACTAGCTAGTTTATAATAAGAATTATAGTGCTATTATTGAAAATAGGAAATAAGAATAGAAAATGATTAAAAAAGAGAAAGAAAGTAATATTTATTCTCAGAGGATTTTTAAAACTCTTTTTATATATCTTAAAATCAATAAGGTTAAATAAATTAATATTTGAGGGAATTCATTAATATTATAAGATACGCCTATGTAACAAAGCTCGTGACAAACGGTAGGTTGCGAAAAAGTGCCCTTCTCTTGCACCCTTCCATTTTCAGATCCTAGCTGGAACACTGTTAAGGATGTTACTAATATTCACTGCATCTATTCCTTTGCTGGCAAATTTAAGTTTAAGGAACCAACGGGTTGAGTCAGAATTATCTTCCGACACACGTGATAGATAGATTTTGAAAGTCATCGGTCATCTTGAAAAGTTGTAGAATGAAATTTGAAGACGATGAAAAGTAATCATGCTCAAAAGTCCAATTATTGTTCACGGATCTCTGAAAATACTAGAGGTTGGATACTGTGCCATGGAGGAGTAAGCATCTCCTGTCAAACCCATCGTGAACCCCTTGTCTTGATCGGGTAGAGAAAATTCAATTTGAAAAAAAAATGGCCTAACGATGTTTATTAAATACGTCAGTCAACATTCAATCTAACTACAGGTTGAAAATGAAAGGGCATTGTATCGATCATAGAAATGTTGACTTTGAACGAAATTGTTGATATCCTTGTAACATCAATGTACTTGTCAGTAGCCTGCCTCTGTTGAGTATTGTTCGTATGCAGAACATATACTTGCATATAGCATCATGGGAGAAATAAACATCATACATGTATGCTGTTAACAAAGGTAAATGAGCAGATTTGACAAAAGAAAGGTTAAATTCATTTTGTTTATCGTAAAGTTTAGTTGTTAGTTTGTCATCAATGTCATTTTCTAGTAGCATTCAAATATAAAAAGATCTCTCTCTCTCTCTCTCTCTCTCTCTCTCTCTCTCTCTCTCTCTCTCTTCTCTTCTCTTTTTAGTTCACCTGAGTCACTCAGGTGACCTGTTGCTATCTGATTTGTCCGTCGTCGTGCGTCGTCCGTCGTGCGTTAACTTTTGAACATTTTCAACTTCTTCTCTAGAACCGCTAAACCAATTTCAACCAATTTTGGCATATAACATCTTTGGATAAAGGGGAACAAAAAGTGAGAATTTCATGGTCCCTGCCCTCCTGGGGCCCCAGGGGTGGGGCTAAAACCACCAAAATTGATGCAATCTTTAAAAATCTTCTTCTTTACTCCTGGACATCAAGCAGTCAAACTGTTGGCATGATTGTAATAAGCATTGGGCCCTCTACCAAAATTGTGAAATCCATGGCCCCAGGGTCAGGGGTTCTTGTGCTAGGGCGGGGCTATAAAGATCATTTAGTGAAAGTGCATTATTTCTTTGAAAATCTTTTTCTCTTCTCCTGGGTATCATTTAAACAAACTATGTGCATGTTATGATAAGCACTGATGCCTTTTCCAAAATTGTGAAATTCATGGCCCCTGGGTCAGGGCTTCTGGTGTTAGGGCGGGGCCCTATTGATTATATAGTGAAAAGCATTAATTTTTTGAACAGATGCTCGAGTTTCTGATTGACAATATCTATGTGGTTTTAGGAGACCAGGTCTTCAAACACTCTATTGGAATTCCCATGGGTACCAATTGCGCCCCGTTATTATTTTTTACACATATTAAGCAGAATTTGTTCAAAATATGTGAAAAGAAGAAAACACTTGCTGTGGCCTTCAACTCGACATTTAGATATATTGACGACGTATTGTCAATTAACAATGGTTATTTCCATTCTTTTGTCGACACGATATATCCCGGTGAGCTTGAGATAAAAGATACCACAGAGTCTGACACATCTGTTTCATATTTGGATATTTTATTAGAAAAAGACGTTAATGGTAATCTAACAACAAAGCTTTATGATAAACGTGATGACCTTAACTTTTCAATCGTCAACTTCCCTTACTTATGCAGCAATATACCCTTATCACCTGCATATGTAGTGTATATCTATCAGTTGATTCGATACGCAAGAGCATGTTCTACGTATGAACAATTTCTAATACGAGGTAAGTTATTGACAAACAAGTTGATGAAACAAGAATATCAACAGTCTCGTTTAAAGCAATAATTTCGTAAGTTCTATGGTCGATACAATGACCTTGTCAGCAAATACAATCTATCATTAAGCCATATGCTGACTGACTTTTTTCATAATAATTGTTAGGGCCGTTTTACACTTTAAATTGCCGACGGATTTTTCCGTTATTTACCGATCATGACAATGAGCACACGGTGGAAGGGGATGCTCACTCCTCCATGACATCTGATCCCATCTCTGATGTTTTGGAGGTCAGTGTTTGGTCTGCTCCCGATTTGTATTGTTTGAATGGACTTTGAGCTTGAATAGTGTTCGTTATCTCCATATTTCATTACTTCTGAATCATTGTAGACTACGGAAGGCCGAAGGACAGATTCTTCGCATTTTGCTGCTCAACCATTTAATACGAAATTTCACTGTCCATCTTTTACTTTTTATTCATTCTGACAAAGTTTCAATGTATCTCCTTAATCTTCAACAGAATCCATAGTATTCATACAATTTTGTCTCCAGTTGAAAGACTTGGGTTCCCTTAATTGTGGATCCTTTGAATGTGTGATTCCCTTGAGACTAGGATATGAATTTTTATCCTAACAAATTATTTCCATGAATGCATTGAAAGTTATTTTTTTTAAAGTAGCGATTGTTCAGTTGCTTACAATCAATAAAATGTAACATCTATATTCAAGTTTCTTTGTTTTGTTTTGGGTGTTTATCATTACTGAATACCACTGTGTATGAAAAATAGATATTGAAATCGGTCGTTTCCTTGATATCATATGCAGATGAAATAAAAGTTTCTAAAAATAATAATAAAGCATTTTCCTGTATTTTAAATAATTAATATCACTCCATCCATTTCAATAAATATTTCGTACATCATATTAGAATACAACTCACAGGATTTTTAATAGGCTTCATTCTTGTCTTAGTTTAAGATGCTTTTAGCTAATGTTAAACGTATCAGTCCAAGTCCTTTGAACTGACTTACAATAAAAACAAATGTTGAATCCATAATGGATGTCTTGCTAAGCCATCTCATTGGCTAGGTAAGATATGAGTCAAGGTCAACAACTTCGAATTTTAACTTTAATATCTCTAATATTAATTGAAAAGTCCACGAGCAAAAAGCAACCAATAAGTTTTTAAGTTTAATGCGTTAAGTGTTTATATCCGACTATCAAATAATTAAGGGCAAGTGCGATAATTTTGCTATTTTGTAAAATTGAAGGAAAGTTTGAAATTACATTTTTAGACAAGACTCATTATGTCTTGAAGCAATATTAGTATATTAAACAAAACATTGCAATCTTGGTCTAAGCAAATGGAGTATTTTACTTCAACTTTGCACAGAGACTAAAAAGCCAATGTTTAATTCTTCGAAAAAAAATCTTTAAACGCAATTTTGTTCGTTGAATAAGAACTGTGTCGGAAATGCATAATTTATTTTAAGCATTATTTCATTTCTCTTTGCCATAAATCACAAAGAAGAGTTATGAAAACTTGCATGCTTGCTCTTGATAATCATTTTACGGTAACATGTATAATTTACCTCCAGTGATCATTTCAAAAGATGTTTTTCTGACATGTTTTTCAAAAATTTACTTGTGATCTAGCATTACATCACAATTTGTGTTTTATTGACACATGAAAATATAAGAAAATATAAATGTAAATATGAATAATTTATATAGCGACCTGTGATGTTAATCGGTAGTCTGTTCTCCATCATCTCTAAAGCATGAAGAAGTGATCCTTTATCTTTATAAGCTTTGGAAGTAGAAGTGAATTTAGTCAAAATACAAATCTTCCAAAGTCAATTTAAATGTTTTGTAATTATACTTATTTAAAAAGAATTTTGTGTAACATGGACTCATTACAAAACTCATCACTTATGTTCAAAGTGGTGCATTTGTCAATTTTCTGTCACTTTAAACCCTTTCAATCACAGAATCTTTTATCTTACACTTATCGTGTACAAGATTCTCAGTATCGTAGTTACTTCCAATAATTATTCGGACTTACACAACACTTTAGGCTACTTGAATTATGTACGTTGAAGTGTTGAAAGAATAAAAGCATAAAATTTTGAAAAAACTCCGTTTTTCAAGCTGTGGGTATATAGTGATAGGGATGTCTGTCTGTACTGCCGAACATTCATAACCTGGGGGTGGGGTGGGGTGGGGTTACCCATCTTTTATCTGCAAGGTCTCCTATACTGCTTAATAGAATAATCAAACTTTCAGAGAATCTTTATTACATTGTGCCACTGTTCACCTTTTGTTTCATTTTTCCGAGTCGCTCGCGTGGTGCAGTGGTTAGAGCGTCTGTTCTACAGTCGCGGAGTAAGGAGTTGATCCATACGTCGTGGGTTTGAATCCCACTGCGGGACGTGGGGACCGGTAGTGGAGACTAGTACACCACTAGCCCTCCACCGGCAAGTGGTGGCGTCTCCATGTGAGTGAAAAATTCTCGCGAGGGACGTTAAACAACAAACAATCAATCAATCATTTTTCGATGAGGCAGGTATATAGGGTTTCCCATAGCAAAATTTGGACACTGCCATTCTTTCTATAATAATAGAGGTATCCATCTCTCATCCGCAACTCTTCCTGTGAAATTTAATGAGACTTTCGCAGAATCTTAATTACCTAGTGCCACTGTCCCCTTTTATTCAATGTTTCGATCGAAGAAATATTTGGGGTTAATTTTCCATAGCAAAGCATGTACATTGTCGTTCTTTCTATAAGACTGGGAATACCCATCTCTTATCCGCACATCTCAAATACCATTGAATAAAATTTAATGAGACTTTCAAAGAACTCTGTCACATAGTGCCATCGTGCATCTTCTATTTTATGTTCTGATCGCATATATATTTGGGGTTTCCTAAAGCAAAAAAATGGACTTCGTCATTGTACTCATATTGGAGCGGAGGATACCATTTTGCTCTAGCTAAATGCTCACAGTACCAGTCTAGTCTGTTTTAGTTTTAAGGGCATTGAAAGCTCTCACTTTACACCGATGGAAGGCTGCGAATTTAGACAAGTACTCGCCACTTTTGTCTTTTGAGCAGTCAGTGATAAAACATGTTACATGAATACAAAATTAGAGAGACTCAACTACATGAAGCATGATTTTTCATAATTTTCAAACAATATATTTAAAGAATACTATAGACTTGAGTAATCCTCAACTAAAAATAAAAATACTCATTTCATCCGGCATTAGGCATCAATGAAATACTAATATAGTGAAAATAGCATTAATCAACTCATATGCGTCATTTATTAGATTATTAGGCATTTGGTTTTTAAATGTGAAAATGATTGAACAAGTCACTTTCGTTTCCTGTGTCACAACTCGTGTGAATGCCACTTCAATTCTAAGAATAATTAAGGAAAATGGTCTTGAG